GGTAGGGGAAAATGATCTTTCCTGGTGGCGTCGTTCAGGCGCCGGTAATCGATGCAGACTCTCCAGCCGGTCACGGTCTGCATCGGGATCAACTCCTTCTTCTCATTCGGGACCACAGTCATCCCGCCTTTCTTCGGGACCACCTGAGTGGGGCTGACCCACTTGCTATCAGATATAGCAAAGATGATCCCTGCATCCATGAGCTTCAAAATCTCTGCCCGGACCACTGCCTCCAAGTTAGGAGACAATCTCCTCTGTGGCTGCTTGACTGGCTTAACCTCATCCTCCATCAAAATTCTGTGGGAGCAGAAGGATGGGCTAATGCCTCTGATGTCGGTGATCTTCCATGCCATGGCCCGGGCATACTTCTGCAGCAGAGCCACCAGCCTGCTCTTCTGCTCGGGTGTCAGATTCGAGCTAATAATAACCGGGAGCTTATTCCCCTCCCGGAGAAATGCATACTCCAGGTGAGATGGGAGGGGTTTAAGCTCCAACTCTGGTGGCTCCTCCAATGATGTAGCGAGCCGGGGCGAGATGGGGATCGACTTGAATGGTATCTCTCGCCCCTCGATCGCAGCCTCGTCCAACTCTACAAGCTGCTCCTCCAGCTGCACATCCTGTGATGCCTGTTCCCCTAGCAAAAGACAACGCTCAAGGAAATCATCAGTACCCGCACTCGTGATGGCGAGTGCGGTCTCAAAATCAGCAACAACATCAAAGTAATCTAAATCATCAAGGAGCTGGGGGTGTTTCATATTATCAGAAACAGAGAAGGTGATTTGTTCACCCCCAGCTCTCAAAATCAGTTTTCCATCATTAACATCAATAAGCGCCTTGGCGGTGGCGAGAAAAGTCTACCCAGTTGTAGTATAGTGGTAAGTATAAGCACCATCCGTTGTAGTATAGTGGTAAGTATTCCCGCCTGTCACGCGGGTGACCCGGGTTCGTTCCCCGGCAACGGCGCCAAAAACTTGACACGCCAAAACACAACACCAAACTGCGACCAAGTGTAATCGCAGTTCGGGAATGCAGTAACAGGCAAGTTCTATTGTCAACCCGGGGTCTAGATCTACTGCTTACTCCGTGATGATTTATTATCTAGCCAACTAATTCGATTAATTGTTGTTTAAAGCAAAAGCAGTAAGAAAGCTGGAAATGGTTCGGTTTTCAAAAGCAGAAAAGAGTCACTCGGGAATGAGTCCCCCTAGCCCCTTAGTTAGGTTCAATTGTAATTCCCCTGGGTTGATTCACTGTTGATTAGACTGCGGAAGATCCGACAGTAGCTTGGAATCTCTTAAGCTGACCAAGCCCTCTCAGTCTAACTACCAGGCAGACGACTAGTCTTCACCCGGATAGAAAGCTGAAGCAATAAGCACAGAACTCCACTACTGGAATTGAATTCCAGTACAAAGCAGTAAACTGGCTAACTCTCGTATAGCCAATCTCCTACTATCGAATGAAGAGGCTCTAACAACCTAATCAGATTCTATCTATCTCAGGTTGCAGCAGAAATCGAGAAAAGCTGATCAGACTTCAAACAATTCAATAAACATGCATCATTCGATTAAAATCAAACAGTATAATCATCCCAAGTCATTACAATCAAATCCCTAACACAAGGAACTAGGGTTCTTCATACCCAAGTGAGAGAAAGGTTCTACTCCATAGAGAGAGAAAGGAAAACAGAAATAAGAGTAGTCATACTCATAAAGATGAGGAAAATCTGCTCTGGGATGTCAATCTTCACTCCTGGGGACGCAATCTGGGCTTCAATGGTGAGAAATCCACTCCAAAATAGCTCCTAGGGTTTGTTCTTCGCTTTTTCTCTCTCTAAAACTCTGTTTTTGCTCTAGAAACTCGAATGCCCCTTCCTTGGCTCGAATCTGCCTCCAAAAACCCGACTCTAGGCGAATTACGGGCAGAATTACGGCCGTAATCACTGCCTGCCCGTAATTTTCCCCAAAACCCACGTTTCAATTAAACTGAAGGAGGAGGATCTACGCGCGTAATTCCACAATTACCGCCAGTATTTTAGGAATTACGGTCGTAATTCTCTGGAGCTTGCCCGTAATTTTTGTGCCGAGAAAAATTATTTGGCAAAGAGGCTCGACAATAGATTTACGGGCATGCCCTGACCAATTACGGTCGTAATTTGGTAGGGGCTGCCCGTAATTCCTCCTGTGAATCGCCATCTGACCTCCAAATGACCCGAAACTTGCGCCTATGCACCTCTTTACTTGCTAGGACCTGAAATACGACAAAACAACCCAACCTAGCGTAAAATAGGCCAAGGAACAATCAATTCGAGCCAAAATGGACAGGAAACCAGAGAGAAAACACGTGCAAATACGATGCTATCACCAAGATTGGGTGTCAGATCATTACTGAACCCCACTCCCTTTTAGCTCAAGTCTACAAAGGAAAATACTTCCCTACTGGTACGTTCCTCACGGTTACAGCACGTTCCCGGCCGTCCTAGGACTGGTAGAGTATTATGTATGGCAGGCAGTTGCTTGAGCAAGGGTTAAGGTGGCAGATCGGTAATGGGCGGACAGTGTCTCTACTCTCTTCTAACTGGGTTCCTCAGTTCCACCCCTCTCCCCCGCGGTATAATCCCTTGGTGCTTCCGGTAGGGGGCGACTTAGGGGTGGCGGAAGTGATCTGTTCTTGGGAAGGGCGGTGGTGTGATTCAAAGCTCAGTCAGTGGTTTGATCCTCCTACCTGTCGTGCCTTAAAAGCTATTCCGCTCCCACGGCAATGCATAGAGGATCGTCTTGTCTAGAATGACACAGCTGATGGGGTTTTCTTAGTTAAGTCGGCGTATCACCTTGCGGTCCGGTTGGATCAGCAGAACAGTAGTTGTAAAGCTACGGTTAGTTGGATGGATAGACCCAGCTGGATCCGGTTATGGGAAGCCAATATCTGCGCAAGCTTAAGGTGTTTGTTTGGCAAGTTTTTAATCGGATTCTCCCCACAACAGAGGCTTTTAGGAATAAGGATGTTTTGGTCCACCCTAGATGTCCTGTCTTTTGGGATGCAGAGGAAACCATGGAGCATTTGTTTTTGGATTGCCCGGTGGCTCGGGCGCTCTGGGATTACTCTGGGCTGGAATATCTGGGTCAGGGTTTGCCTCGCCATACTTTCCCGCTTTTCCTTAAACGACTGTTAGCTCTCATTCGACAACCGGAACTGGTTATGAATGTTATTGCTGTACTTTGGCGGATCTGGCGCTCTCGTAATTGGGTTGTTTTCGAAAGCAAACAATTCGGGATCCCGACCTTGATGCGGCAGTTAAATCAGCAGGTGGATGAGTAGTTAAGGGTGTCTGTTGAGCGGGAGAACCCTTTTTGTGCTCCAGTGCCACCTCCTACTAGCACAGGGATTGGTTGTCCGGTTATCTGCATGTGGGATGGGGCGACGCGGCATGGGTCTCACTCGGCAAGAGGAGTGGTGTGATGACTCCAGCGAGAGATATTTTGGTGGTTCGCAGGGTTCAATTCCAATGCATTGATGACCCTATGGTGGTGGAGGTGCTGGCGCTGCGTGAGGCATTATGGTGGTGTCTTGAGAATGGGTTCTCTGAAATTTGCTTTGAGGGGGACGCCAAGGTTGTCATCGATAAGATCATTCGGGCGGAGATTGGCGATATTCGGATGGGGGCGGTTCTGGAAGAGGTTGTGTCTTGTTTTGCCTTGCATCCAGGGTTTAGTGTTCGGTTTGTAGGTCGACGTAACAATAGAGTAGCCCATTTGGTGGCTAGAAAGGCCCTTTCATTGTCCCTGACTGCGAGTCGCATGTTTGATTTTCAGACCTGGCTGATTTCCAGGATATAACTATCTTTTTGGTGATTCAATGTATATGAATATCTTTTGTCAAAAAAAAAAATGTTTTGCTAACCATATTCAGTAGCATGCCAAAACTATCCAAGTTATTCTCCCATTCTCTCATAAATCTATAGGTACTAGGGGTGGCTATACGGTCCGGTCCGGTTAAATTGGCCCAAATTGATCCGGTCCAGTCCGGTTTTTTTGAAAATATAAGGACCGAAGATTGGATTGGATACAGTCCGGTCTTGACCCGGTCCGGTCCCAATTCGGTCTTGATTTTATATTGAGATTGTGAGAATTTGAGTGGCCTAAGGCCTAAAAGGGTGAGGAGTTGGTTAAGTTTTGTACTAAGTGCAAAGGTTTGTGACCGTTTATGCAAATTACCCTTAAGTTTTGGGTGTTGAGCTCTCTTATCCGATCTTTATCCGGTTTTTTTACCTCAAATCTAAGCCCAAAGATTGGATTGGATTGTTTACTATCCGGTCCCGGTCCGGTCTCGGTCCGGGTTATACGGTCCGGTTTCCGGTTTTTCATCCGGTTCCGGTCCAAATAGCCAGCCCTAATAGGTACAACCCTCTCATTGAATCTTTTTAACTAATTATTTATTTACTAATCCGTAATTATTATGACGTCTTCAAGATTAACAAATTTAAAAGGTTTATTTTAATCCCCACCACATATTCAAGATATGATTACTATTGATTGCTAACTAATCGATAAATGCTAAATTTTCAAATAATCCGCGGCACCGCGCGGACCATTTATCTAGTTCTTTGTTACACGTACATCAACATATTCTAGACTAGATTAGTAGTGGTTGAAGGATGGTCTTGCAGAATTCCCATAGACAATAGACATAATCACATGAAGGTAACCCCTTCCTCGGCTGAATCAATGAAGATTCATTCTGCAAGAGTCTGGATGATGAGTTTGAGGACTTCTCTGGAAAGTCCACGAAATGGGTTCTTCCCAAATTCTCCTAAAAAAAAAAAAAACTTGGGAAGATAAGAGAGTATACCGAGATTTGGGAGAGATGTAGTGTAACACCATTGTTCCCAGATAGAGCTGCTGCTATTATGAAGGGCTCTAGATGTTAAACCTGAAGGAAGCGTAGCTGTGGCTGTGTGTATTGATTCTAGTTTTGCCATGTTATAAACGATGACAAGTTGGTTGCTTCTTAATCAGTTAATGTTCCTTCTATTCAGTGTAATTCCATTTCCATCTTAACCGTGAATAGCACCCATATCACTGCCAGAAAATGCAGCACCGAATTCCCCGTTCTCGAATAACTGTTTCCTATTAATAAAAATCTCAGCATATATAGAGAGAGCTTCATGACCAACAACAAGTTCTTGAGAGCAACCAAGGCGTAGGCTACAAGGCTGGCGACAATGTTGTTCCTTTTGCTGACAATTATACAGTCGAAAAAAGCTTTTTTCTAGTCCTAAAAGGCTCCACGAGATGCACGATCACCTGGCGTTCATTTCGGTGATGGTAACCTGGTTCACTGTCCAATTCTCCTCCTGCTCTTCAATAATCTCAGTAGCCTCCTGCAATCTGTAATAAAATGCTGGCCGATTTGGGGACGGCAACTGGGATGAATCATTGTTGTAGATCATGGAGGCGACTTCCAACATGGAGGGTCTATCCCTTGGATTCTCTTGCGTGCATAGCAGACCAATCTGAATGCACTTCACTGCTTCATTCTGGCACATGCCGTCGTCCATGGCTGGATCCACCAGTTCTAATCCTCTTCCTTCTCTCCATAGCTCCCAAGCCTGTGTCAAGTGAAAGTTAATTTCAAACTATCAAATTGTGTGGCAAAAATTGAAGTGAGAAATTCCCTCAAGTAAACAGTAGATCCCCTCAGGTTTTTATCAATTCACATTGCTCATGGGACACATCGATGAAGTGAGAAGGGGTAAGGAAATTCACCCATGCCAGAAGACTGCTGGGGCCTTCTTCATCGTGGAAGTGATTGTTCCTCTTGCCGCTCACGATTTCCAGCAACAGAACTCCAAAGCTGAACACATCTGACTTGGTAGAGAAAACTCCCTCCATAGCATACTCAGGAGACATGTAGCCACTGCATCAAATATTTACTCTACATTGATTCAGAGTACTCAAACATCATAGTCAAGCATAGGACGAAAGGAACTCAACTAACTAAGCATCACATAATCAATATCAGATCACATACAAAGTTCCAGCAACTCGTGCAGTGATTGCTCTCGATTCGTTGGGATGGAATATCTTGGCCAACCCGAAATCCGATATTTTCGGGTTCATCTCACTGTCGAGCAAGATGTTGCTAGCCTTCAGATCTCTGTGGACAATCTTCAGCCTCGAATATTTGTGGAGGTAAAGAAGTCCTTGAGCTATCCCTTGAATAATGTCTAACCTTTTCTTCCAATCCAGTGCATTTTGGTCCCTGGGAGCTGGTCGTAAGAACGACAGAATTCAGAAAATCTACGTGGGTGGAAAAGAAAAGGGGATGGGTTGTTGTCACTGGCACTAACCGAAGAGTGAGAAATCAAGGCTTTTGTTGGGCAGATATTCATAGACCAGGATCTTCTCTCCATTCTCGATGCAGCACCCAACTAGCCTGACCAGATTGTCGTGCTGCAGTTTAGCAATCAGTCTTACTTCATTCTTGAATTCAATTAGCCCTTGCCTTGAACTTGTTGAGAGTCTCTTTATAGCTACTTCTAGCCCACTTGGTAGCTTCCCCTGAAATTTTCCAGGAGTACAAAGAGTAGCAATGATAAGGGTTAACCGTGTTTCTAGTCCCTTTTTACTCTTTAACAAACACGTTCTTATACTATGATTCTTGACAAATAAATATTTATACAATTAGTAAGAACGTCATGGTCTCATGAATAACTCACATGCTAGTTGTGCTGGAAACTCATATTTCCCCCCTCAATCAACTGTTCAATCTCACCAATCTCTCTTATTTTTATGACAACCGCCGTTTGAGACTTAATGGCGTCGCATCGTGGGGAGAAATTAAGAGGATTTCCAGCACATTGGGCACATGCATGCAGTTCGAATGTCATGATTACTAAAATGAGTCTATGCCATGAGCAGTGAATTTGATCATAAACTTTTAACATGAGGATCAGAAACAAGTAAATAACATAGTGCTGCAGAGATCGTGTCAAAAGACTTTTGAGTCCTAAACCCAAAGTTGAATGAAATAAAACCGTTAGTTCAGTTACCTTGTAAACGGGTCCAAAACCACCCTGCCCAAGCTTATTAGAAGGGTTGAAGTTGCTTGTGGCAGAAGCTATGTGCTTGAAACTGAATAAATGAAAATCATTATTTACATTTCCCTGGCCATTAAGATCAAAGTTTGCATCACCCACCACCCCTAGCTCATGTAGTAATATCACTTGTTCCGAATCTGCAGTTTTCTTAGATAGCAGAAGCAGGACAAATTCCTTGCATATCACCAACAAAGATCGACAACGCTTCCAGAGTTCACGGACGGTACTTCTCAATGCAAGGCTTATGACCACAGCTAAATGATTTCTCCGTTTCCAGCTCAGGTACACTAACAAGAAGATAAACAAGACTGTGGATGTAATTACTCCTGATATGATTAACCAAAGCTGCCGTTGTCGCGCCCTTCCACCTGCAACATTTATTAGGATAAGTAACAACTGAACTTGCTATTGCCTATTAGACAAGGCATAGAATTTGGACATTCAATTCTAATTTGCTAGTTCCAACGTGGTAAAGCCAGTTGACTCAATTATCCTCTGATTATGCCACTCATTTACTCAACACACCAATCCCTGTGCGATAACACCACTCATTGTTAAACTTGTCGATATTGAACCGAACATGCCTACCACGGCAGGATGCAATACAAGTATAGCCCGGTGATGTAAACAAACAAGAGTAAGTAAGCATGAAAACATTCAAGATTAAACATTGATAGAGGCAGATGCTGACCTGTGGAATCAGGCAATGAGTAGTTCACTATCATTCTCATCTGGCACCCAGACCCATCCCGATTCTGCTTGGCATAAACTAAGCAAGTGCAGTCTTCGGTGCAGTTCTGCCGACATTGACCACCCACTCTGCCATGGCTGTCCGGCCATTCTTTGTAGGCTTGTACTGCCGGATAGTCGTAGCTGGACGGCCACATCCTTGTACCGGGAGTACCGCAAATGGGCGTATCATCACCAGCAAAACATCCACCACCGTTCTCAAATTTCCAGTCACACCCCACGAATGCGGTGCGATCATGACCACTAAGAATGCCAGGGCTAGTAATGGTGATCCTAGGATAAGCAATACCATCCCTCGCTTTGTAAACCATGTACCTGTCTTCTCCATTATTACTTGAGACATACCTGAAGTTATAATCCCAGAATACCGGATTCAGCCCCACCCCACTTCTCCAATACACCCGTCCGTTCCACAGTATCGCCAATTGGTTCTTGATCGTCCCGTTTGGGTTCAACCCAAAAGTGAAATTGGTCTCTAACGGCCATGGTTTCAGAGACCAAACCTGCCCAGTTCGCAAATTGGCGCCCAATTTCATCCCTGGCAGAAGGGTATCCGTTGGGTAATCGAAGCTCTGCCACAGTTCCCGCTTCACCGACCCATCTCGATTCAGCTCCCGAAGCACAAAATTGCCGGAATCAAGCAACACAGCGCTCGTCTTTCCTGAAATTCCGGTGGCGGCGGCCAGGGAAACAATCTCCTCACCTCTTCCATTTCCGATCTTCAAGTTCCCGTCACTTGCTACAGTGAGAACCCCTGTTCTACTAATGATTGGGACGTTCACGTTTCCGACCCAGACGGGTGCTGGCCCCTCGTCTCCGTTGGGGGAGGAGTCAAAGTTGGGAGGGAAGCCGCGGAGGCGGTACTGCTGAGAGTTGGGAATGTTGTACCAGATTCCGAGGTAGCGGTGGGAATCTGGACCGGTGAAGAAGCCCAGCCTGAAAGTTCCGAACGCTGAATCCAAGTGATACCCATCTTTCAGTTCCTGCCCTTGTAAGAGTGTGTCTGTTTGACAGTTTGAGAACAGAGGACATAAATACAGTGCGAGAGAAGAGATGAAGAAGCTCAGATAGAAGAATAAGGGATCCCCGAATTTCACCATGGGTATCATTTGGTCTGTGTTCATCGAGCTTACCCAGATTCGTTGCAATAATCTCCCTCGGATTAGAGCTGCAGAAGTCGTAGACTCCGGTTCGAAAAGAAAAAAAAAAAAAAAGGGAGACTTTGAACTTGACTTATTTTTCCCACGTGGTTGGTTCAGAGTCAAGACGGGGGCCACCGCCATTTTAGCAGCTTCTGGCCACAACACCGATTTGGCTACTAAAGTTCAGTTTGGGTGACGAATTAAGAGGGTTACTATTTGCCGTCTGTGTAATTATTATTTGCTGTCCGTAAAAAACACTTAAAAAGACAATTTTGCCCTCCAAATTTTTCTTTATATTCTATTCGCTGAAATGGTTTTTTAAACAACATACACACTACCCGAGTCCCGACCACCCACCCCCCACAAACACCACAGCCAGATTCACGACCACCGGACGGCAGCCAAAGTCGCCGGCCAGCGGACCAATCTCGTCAGCATAATTCGCCGGGCACTGGACGGCAGCCGTAGCCCATCGTCGGACCAGCGAAGCAGGTAAACCCCACTGATCCTGGATTTTTTTTCCCGTCCGCTCGCCGTCGTCGGACCCCGTCGGCGTCGGACGGCGACCGACGCCGGCGAGCGAACGGGGGACCGGATGCATCGTAGTCGGCAGTGTTATATTTTTTTTTTAATTTGAGACAGGTTATTATTTCTAGAGCTAATAATTTATATTTAATTTATTGCTTTTATTTCTATTTTACATAGTTAAATTCATATGTAGTTTGAATTAAGCGATTGTATTTTGTTGTAGCGCTAATTAGTTTCTTACTGTCAAATTATCGTTATTTTGTAGAGTTAATTAAATTATTGCATTAGTTTAATTTTGTAGAGTCAATTGAAGCACAATTAGTTTAATTAAGTGATTGTGTTTTGTTGTAGCGCAAATTAGTTTATTGTGTTTAGATTTAATTCGTAGAGCTAATTTGGTTTTATAATTTATATTTAAATTATCATTATTTTTAGACTTAATTAAATTATTGCATTTAGTTTAATTTTGTAGAATCATATAATTTGTACATTTCTAACGAGTTGTAAAATCATAATTGCAAGTGGACATGGCTGACAATGTTGAACTAATTGGTGATTACACAGACCATTTTCTCAATCACGTCCGATATGCCAATTTCGAAGATGCTGTAACAGTGACCAAAAACATCGCGATGTCTCTTGGTTTCTTTCTAACTAAGGGATCGATGAAGCCACGTGAGTTGAGCAACAAAAGAGTATTGGGTATCTGTTATATGTATTGCGACAGATGCAGTAGGGAGAGGAAGTCATACAAGCCGGATCCTTCCAAGGAGAGTCGTGGCAATACAAGTTCAAAAGGAGCGGGATGCATGTTCAAGATTAAAATCAAAGAACTACTGGTTAATCCAGATGCTCTTGATGGACCTTCATTCTGGGAGATACAAGGAGTGACGGAGCAAGGAATCGGTTTAAGGCGAGGGTATCGCAGTCATGAGAAGATGCTTTATCCCGAGGGCCACAGTCAAATGAATAAATTGAGTCAGGAGGATAAAGAATCTCTGAGACAGATGAGAGATGCTGGGGTACCTCCGTCGCAACAGAAGCAGACTATAAACAAGCAGAAGGGTGACAAAGGGCATCACACCCAAAGGCAGATGTATAACCTCGTGTCCAAGTCTAGGAAAGACGAGATGGGCGAGATGAATGAAGTGCAGTATGCGTTGCTAGCAGCTGAACGTGAGAATTATCATACAGAGGTTATGAAGAACGATGACGACGTGCTGGCACATCTTTTTTTTGCCCATCCAACTTCCATCCAGATGTTGAAGGCTTGGTCGTACGTGATTCTGATCGACTCAACGTATAAGACCAATGCATATAAATGGCAGTGGGTGGAGGCGTGGGTGGAGGTCGTAGGTGCTATGCGCCCCCAAGTTGTTCCAGATACAAATCATAGACAGACTGGTAGCTAAGAGAGTATCCAAGCGTGGAAGCAGGTCGACGCACAACAAGCGGACGCTCCGGTGGATACGGTACACCCTGCACGTAGCCTAACTGTCGGAGGCACCTAGTGGGATCATAATATTCTGCTATCTCTGCAAATCTGAGCAGGCCATGATACAAGGTACGTCTCACCGTCAGATGAGGACGCTGACCATACGGAGTCCAACTAACTGACTGAGGGGTCAAACTATCAATCGCCTGCCGATAATAAGCCAGCATCTGTGCATCCCTCTTCTTACTCGACCGGGGTGCTGTACCGCGCCACCTGAATGCTCCTGCCTGCCCCCGCTCCAGCTCTCGTGGCTCCAACTGACTAGGCCTCAAAGTAGGAAAGTGGTCGTAAATCCAACACTCTAGTAAAGTCAGACAACCCGCCACTCCCTTAGCTTCCGCCCGGGAGGCAATACCAAGCTGCCTGTACAGATAAGCAAGTGCTCCTTCCCCCCACGCATACTCTCCTAGCATATCCGGCCTCTTCACAAACAAGTTGACAACAGCAGAAACGCGGTCCTTACTCTTATCTACGAACATTGTGGACCCAAGCAGCAAAAGAAGGTAACACTGAGCCTCTCTAGCTGGCGGACCAGACTGCTGCAAATGAGTCAAAGCTCCCACACCCAACAAACCAAATCCTCTGTACCACCTAGATAGACTAGCAACCTCGCCAACCTGCGCCCCGTACTCATCCTCGTCACGATCTAATCCCAGTAGTGGTCGGATGTCAGCCTCAAGTGCACACTTCTCCAACTGCCTCGGATCCACTACCATCGCCTCTCCGTCAACCGCAAGCCCAAGAATGTGTGCCACGTCGTGAAGGAGGATCGTCATCTCTCCAAACGGCATGTGGAAGGTGTTAGTATCCGGCTGCCACCTCTCCACAAATGCCGAGATGAGAGCAGGGTCCAACTCGCTCTGGAAGGTGATATCAACGAGGTGAGCAAGGCCCGATGTCTCTACGGTAGTCCTAGCGTTATCATCTGCTATCCGATAACCGCCGAGAACGTGGCAAAGGGTCGAACTCCTGTCGTAGCAAGTGATCACCCCTCTATCAGCCTCTCCCGTGTACAGACGGTGGGCAACATGGCCAAGAAAGCTACGGAGCAAACTCGGGTCGCTCTGCCCTCCAGGACACGGTCCTCTAGGCTCCCAGGCCTCTTCTACATCAGCAGTACCACTCTGGCCCTCACCAGGCTGTGGAGCTCTATAGAAACGCCCCGGATGGTCTCTATAGATCCCAGCAACAACATGAACCCCAGTAACGACATGTGACGCACCGCTGGGGGCACCTCTGTCTCTGATCGGACTGACTCGTGGAATACGATACTCAACAGCATCCGACTCTTCGTCAATCTCGTCTGAAGGCTCAAACGGTGAAGTATGATGATCAATACTGGGTCCAGCTCCACTACCACCCATACTAGGCAACTGAAAATCAAACTGAGGGAAACCGTCTGCCCTATATCTCATCGGTGTCACCTGTGGCTGTGGCTCATCTCTATCATTTGGGTCCTTATTTCTCGCACTAGCGCTAATGTTACGCCCAAGGAATCTTTTCAATCTCTTTCCTGGTCCTCCAGAACTACGTGATCCTCCAGAATTACCAGATGACGCCATCTCTAAACATAGACAATAACTTTCTATTAATATCTTATTGGAAATTATTTGTTGAGCAATTACTTGTTGTTTCATAGAGTAATTATGATACATACAATTTGTTATCAACTTAATATTTCGTTTGATGTTATCTACTTAATTTAACTAGATAGTTATTTTACTTAATACGATAGGTAGTTATTTAAATATTTATTTCAACTTACTCATTAATTAACTAAAACATCATAGATAATTATTTAATTATTAACAATTATTTACAATTTATTTAATCCAATAATTCTTTAGATATTTATTATAATAAATGATCTATTAGCATAGTCAATAATTATCTATTAATCTCTTATAATATATTATCTGATTAGCAATTTGTTCATATTCATAATTTATCAATTACTAATTATGATATATACAACTTGATTATCTAATTAATTTAACTAGATAGTTACTTTACGATATATAGTTTTTTAAATAATTATTTCAACTTACCCAATTAATAAACTAACACATTATATAATTACCAATTATATACTAATTATTCAACTATCAATATTAAACTAATTAAGATACTAACAATTGTATTTAAAATAAATGTAATAAATATTAATTTAAATCGAACCCGAAATCCAATCAGATCGGTCCGACCAGACCGGGCGGGCAGGGTCCGACCAGACCGGGCGGACGGGGTCAGCTCCGGCCTGGCGGACGGGGTCCGCTCCGGCCTGGCGGACGGCGGCGAGACTGTATTAAAAAAAATGACCTCGACGCCGACGACTGGAACAGTGGCGGCCGCGGTTTCTCCTGGGCGGCGACTGCTTCTCCTGGGCAGTGGCGGCCGAGATCGTCGGTGGCAGGGGCGTCGACTGCTTCTCTCCTGGCGGCGGCGTCGAGCAGAGGAGGAGGAGGTCCTGGCGGCGTCGGCGAGCGGAGGGGGAAGGTGGCGGTCGGTCGGAAGGAAGGGGGAGGGTGGTCGATCGGCAGGAAGGGGGAGGGTGGCGGTCGGTCGGCAGGAGGGGGTGGGGGTGGGGGTGGGTGGGAGGGGAAGGAGGTGGATAGATAGGGTTAGGGGGCAGGGGCAAATTCTTCTTTTCTTTCCTAACTATGGGCGGCAAATAGTAAAACGACGGGCGGCAAATAACGATTCATCGAATTAAAGGGTCTTTAGCTTTGACTTCGCTCTAGCTACTAGCTAGCGAGGCTAACATTTCGAGTTTGCCCAAGACCGTCCAATGCAATGAACGCAGGCTGACGCTCTTCCAAAACAACTCAACGCAGGCCAACATTCAGCACACCTTTCATTCAAACGTTGGCTAACATCACTTGCAACAGTCTTCCCTCGCTCCCCAGCAACTACAAATAGCTGCGAAGTCGCTGGATTGTTGGGACTTTTAGAGACGAGGGTATACGTACGATAGCTCAGGATTGGGTGACCAAGATTGTGATAGAGTCGTGAACAACGTTCACTTTCCGGAAAAAAATATTTCCACCCTCAACAAGCCTAGGGTTACATGAAATTTCTCCCGAGGATAAAACTATCACCACTTTAGGTTCCAGGTTCAAGAACACTAAAATATACTTAGAAATTTTTGGAAGAAAGAAGAAGAATATGTTTGATGGTGTATGGCATCATGCACCCCACACATATATTTATAGGGGCCGAATCCATGCATTGTTTCATGAAAGGTTGCCTTTATCCATACGAAAGGTTGTCACTATCCATATGAAAGGTTTTCCTTATCCATACGAAGGGTTGCCTTTATCCATAAGATTATCTTTATCCATAAAATAATGCAACCGCCATTAGGCCAAAGGGATGTGTCCCTTCACGGAATTAGAATATCGGTTCGGTCGGTCTAATCCCAAACCGGTTGGTCGGTCCAACCCAAAACCGGTTTGACTTGGTTAGTCCGATTCATCCAAATTTCCAAAATTCCTCCCCCATTTTAGTGTATTCATAGAATTCACTAAAATCACAACATTCTTCCAACAAAACTTAAGCATAAATGAAAATGTCGTGACGATTGAATTTTCACCTTAGTATATTACACTTGACGAATACTCGAATACAAAGGGTGTCGGTAACAATTGAACCCATTGACTCATATGAATATTTGAAGATAATATACACTTAAGTTTTCAAAAATTCTAAGTGCCTTGACACTATTATCCGCCATGTGTCCAATCCTTCTCATAAGCGCACACGAAACCAAAGTCCGGGTTTCTTGAAGCGGCTACACTTCATGCTTACGTAGGTCGAATCTTTTATTCGTGTACCCATATAATACACTTTGTCAAAGATTCAATTAAGAAGTTTTGAACTTCATCCTCTTCTCTCATGCAGGATAACAAGCACATACCTCGGGATGACAAATTTTGTGCTTCAATTTATGATAATAAGCTTTCCACATTGAATTCAGCCTCTAACGTTGTATTAGATGAGAATTGGGTGTCCCATTACCAAAAATTATATGGACTTTAATCCATTCCTTTCACAGACTTAATCACCAAGTCACTAGTTAACCACTTCATCAAATGATCAACCAAATTAATTTGAGTTTGGTCATACTGTCTAGACACAACACTATGAATGATCAGTTCACAGCTTTTACCGTGCCATACTCCCACATGACCGTACTTATCATTTTCACTTGACTATATGCCTAGCATTACTATCACAAAAGATAGTAATAGGCGAGATTGGTTTAGGCCATAAATATATGTCATAAACCAAACCTCTCAACAATTATTTCTCTTCTCTAAGAGAAATCAAGGCCACATAAACTTTGATTCCATAGTGAAACTTAGTGATGCAAGTTTGCTTTCTAGAGGCCCAAATTATGGCACCTCTCCCAAGCAAGAGGACTCATCTCAATGTTGAAGTATCACCTTTAACATGAGAAATCCAACTAAAATCAACAAATCCTTTCCAAAATTGATGAAAAACCACTATAAGTCAATACAGTGTGCCTTTGACATATCCTAGTACACGCCTCATTTCATTTCAAATGATGAGAACTAGGATTCATCACGTACCAACTTAATTGTTCTATCGCATATGCGATATCTAGCATCATGTAAGTCATGCATACATCTCCAGTTGTAAAACTGATTTCCAGTATTAACCATAAGTTCCATACTTGGATCCATTGGGGTCTTTAACTCTCTACAATTCCTATTATGGAATTTATGCAAGTACCTTCTCATGCAGAAAAATTGAGAGAAGGACTCTTCTTTGTCGTTCCGCTTGATTCAATACACAAAATCACATTTGCCTACCCCATGTCATACATGGAGAATTGAAATAACAACTTTTTTTTATCAAAGTTCATTTATCTTTTATTGGTTCCAAAGATGAGCATAACTTATACATACAAATGTACGATGACTTCATTACCAGAATCATCATAAATTGTGTACACATTTTGTCTCTTTGGTTTAAAATAACATAAACCACTTGACAAAATCACTTATCTTTGATTGGTCCCAAAGATAAATATGTCATCTACATACAAACACAACGACTCTATTACCAGAATCATCAAACATTGTATATACAATTTTGTCTCCTTGGTTTAACATAAACCACTTAGACAAAACCACACCATCAAACAACTAGACAAATCTATATTTGACTAGCACTCCATCTTCTACTATCATCAATGAAATACCCATCATCGAAAATTCTCATAATTCCATACACCGGAACCGGTTTCTTGTAAAGAGCGGTTCGAGCCATCGTACCGGAAAATATTCTTTTCGATTGTTGGGACTTTTAGGGAGGAGGGTATACGTACGATAGCCCGAGACCGGGTGATTAGGATTATGCTAGAGTCGTGAACAACGTTCACTTTCCAAAAAGAATATTTCTACCCTCAACAAGACTAGGGTTACAGGAAATTTTTCCCGAGGATAAAACTATC